AAAAAAAAAAAAAAAAAAAAAAAAAAAAAAAAAAAAAAAAAAAAAAAAAAAAACATGCGGTGTAGCGTTTTGCAGAGCTGAAAATCAGTGTTGTTAAGTGATTTCAAATTCAAGAATAAAATAATGATAAAATATGAGACATGCATACCACTGTACGCAAAATGTTGAATTCAACTGTACGAGTACCAATAGATTAATAAAAAAATTTTGTGTGTAAATTATGATCACAGACAGGAATGTGTAAAATAGTTATAAATGAAGCAATTTAAAAAATATTTGACATTGTTACGTATAAGGCAGTAAATTAATCATGACATAATGGCTGATGATTTTTTTTATATCATACACTTTCATAAAAACAATAGAGTCAACTCTCATAATACTTTCCTAAAGCAATTACAAGAATTTAAATGTATTTTGTCAAGGTATCCATAATAGTTGACGACTGTTTACTTGTTGATCGAATCTGATTGTTCTGACAATAAACTTGACAACGTGCCTGAGCAAAGGCATCTATCAACTCGAAAAAGTACGATAGTTAAAGTGTATTATAAATAACAGTTAAAACGAAAATATTTGTCAAAAAATATTTTTTTTAAATGTAAAGTATCGCATATTAAATTTACAAATCTCACAACTTTTGTTATATCTCCTAAAAATTTTACAGACATACCAAACGGAATGGCGTCAATGAAATTTAGAATTCAAAGTAGACACACGTAATTAACGTAGCATAATTTTTTAGACGCCGTTCGTTAAATTGTTTTACGTATGCATGTACGGCAAAGTTACAAAAATTTTAACTTGAGAAAGATGGAGAGAAAATACACACACTCGATAATTGTTAGTTAGCGGTGACATCACTAATTCGATGCGGAAAGCAAACACAAACATTATTGGAAAAGCAGTGTGGCGCGGCACTTGTGTTACGTAAAAAACAAATATTTACTCGTTTATTTGTCAACTCGTTACTTTTTCAGTACATTGAATAATATAATATTGGCGAAAAATCAAGGGCAATTACTATGTCGAGAGCTGCTTTGAAATTCGCACTGCTGGTGTTACCTCTATGCTTAGCCGACATGTTGTCCCTGTTCGACCTCCGACCGGACAAATTCGCACACGATAGGTACGTTTACAGCCGAAAGCATATGAAGATGAGAAAATTTGGACTAGACTCATCAGTTGTCGGGAACTTCACCAGTCTCGATTTCGTAAGTGCATGGCGTTTCATTTGTTTCTTACATTTGCTTGATAAGCGGTAAATGTAGTTGGACGTTTTTTATTTTAAATAATTTTGTTAATTTTTATCCTTCTAGTATATATATATATATGAACGTCGTGACGATAGAATCGGTACCTGATCCGAAGTTTGGCCATTTGGATTTTGTAGTAGCTCAAGACATAAAAAAACTGCTGAACAATCGCCTCCTGGAAATTATGGAAAATTCACTGAAGCAATAAAGNGGGTGACGTACTATGTCAGCTATTTCAATTATTTGGTGCCAATCCAAGCCAATTTGCAAAGGAAAGGTACACGCGAAGTAGACTTCATATGTCATCGAGAAAAACGGGTTTAAACTCATCAGATTCTGAAAACTCAGATGTTCTCGACTTCGTAAGTATACAGTTTTTAGTAAATATTTAATGAGTAAGTCTTCGAATTTATTAAATTGTTGTTCTTTGAAACATGATTTTTTTGCTGAGAGTGTAATGCGGTATTTATGTTAAATGAATATTATTTATATATTACTTATGGCACAGTAATTGGAAACTGTTTCTCCAGAAAAAATAATCCATCAAAAATTGAGATAGAAAACAATTAAGAAAAGTAATACTTGAAGTATTTAAGTATTTAATTGAAATACTTGAGCGTAAGATTATGTTATGAATAGTGATAAGTAAAAAATTTTTCATTTTAGAAAATGAAGTACTTATAAAATTTTTTTCAATCTCAATGTTTTTCTTGCTATCTCTGAAAAAAGGTAGCAATGGTAGACGATCACGATTACCCCGCAGAAGAGCACTTAGTGACCACAGAGGATGGCTATGAATTGCACGTACACCGAATTCCTGGCAGCCCGAATAAACCAAAGGCACCAGGAAAACCAGTTGTTTTTTTCCATCATGGATTATTCTCATCTTCAGATCAATGGATTATTATGGGTCCAGAACATAGCTTAGGTGATGTATTATTCCAGGTTTTTACCGATAAAATAGTTCTCTGAATAGTGTTTAATAAAAATATATAAATAAATAAATAAATAAATATGATCTAATGGCTCTCATTTTTGCCATTGTGTTGCTTATATGGAAGAGAAAACGAAGTTAATACACATGTCTGAAATTAATAATTCTAATGTGACTTACTTTACTGTAACAATAAATCAGCATAAAAGTCTTAATTAATGCGTTATATCCCAAAAGTTTAGATCAAATAATTTTCAGAAAAAAGAGTGAATAAATCGTAGAATCTGAAACCTAGATTAGTTTTTTATTTGGAAAATGCGATTACTAAAAAAAAGTGGAAACAACAAAAATATCTAGTTATTGTCTCACTCAACACATGAAATTCAAAACAAAAATTTAACAATGCTTGCGTGGTTTACTTGTTTTAATATTTTTGCTGTTCTTATACATAATACTTACATACTTACAAAAAAATAGTAAAGTTTAAAAAAGCTAAAGATATATTTATTTCATGATTTATTTGTATATTATCAGTTTACACATAATTTCTCCTGAATTCTATGTAAAAAAAAAAATTTTCCTGAAGATATACCAGCCTTTGCAGGGAATAGATTATTTTCTTTGTCTATTTAGTTATTACTAGGAGAAAAAAATAAAAACTTTAAACCTTTTCACTAAAGTTAATATTTAAAACCATTAACTCGAATAATATATGAATCTATTCATAGAACATGTGGCACAACTGGATTTCCTCTTTTCCCGCGGGAACGTCGGCTCAATCGGTCTTACACTACCTTCAGAATATAGAGTCAGGTAAGATAAAAAAATCTTGTAGCAGTGATTACATCCAACATTTCTACAATATACTGAATTGGATATAATTGTTATTTAATATTCCTATCCCAAGGTAATTTTGTAATGTACGACTTTGGAGAGAAAGAAAACTCTCTGAAGTACGGACAGCCAGAGCCACCAGCTTATGACTTGAGCAACATAGTTGCACCCGTAGCTTTGATTTATGGGGAAGGAGATTCTATGATTGCACCAGACGTATGTTTATATCAACAAAAAAAGATCAATAATTTTTACGTTTACTGATAAATGTATAATTTACAATTATTCAGGACGTGATTGAATTGTCGAAACGACTACCGAACGTCGTGACGATAGAATCGGTACCTGATCCGAAGTTTGGCCATTTGGATTTTGTAGTAGCTCAAGACATAAAAAAACTGCTGAACAATCGCCTCCTGGAAATTATGGAAAATTCACTGAAGCAATAAAGTAGTGAATAATCAACTTGTTAAACTGAAATTCATGAAATATGGCTTCTTAGTTATATAAATATTTGAATTAAATTTCGAGTACAGAGGCATATGAATTAAATTTTAAAAACTTATCGAGTATTACGTAAACAATTTATTATAATTTTATATTAATGACTGAGGATATTTTTAATGTATCACATAAACCTTTACTTAAAAACTTGGTCAAACCTTACCTTACGTAGATGATAAATTGTTTTTCCATCTTTCTATTTATGTACTATGAAATTAATTTAAAATCAATGATGTAAGGGGAAACACTTTATTTAGTCGTTAAGATGGATTTCTTTTAATGTATCAGGTATTACACCCCATTTAAATGTAGTAATATGGACTTTGGTGTCCAGTTTAACGCTCAAGCTGAATCTGATAGCATTGGGGTATTGGCAATTTTCATGCATTGATAGATAACTAGTATTATTTGAATTTGTGTTGGTGTTTAATGTATTTTATTTTAAATGAATCACAATAAACATGATACAAATTGCTAAAAAAATATGTGATCCAATCATTTCTTGAATCCGATGAATTAATTATACTTAAGACTTGAAAATGAGAAAAGAAAAAAAGTTTGAAGACTGATAAAATATAGATGTTAATTTATGGAGGTTCCGGTAAAAATTAAAAATGTTAGATAATGCTGAAAAAAATTGCGTTTTCTTTAAGAATATTATACCTGCTTAAACGTTTTTTCACTATTTTTTCCAAGCGTATTTTCGAGAAAAAAAATCATTTAAATCCACAATTTAATATAGACTTAACATAACACCCTCCACACACAGAGCCAGTAAAGGATACGCGTAAAAATCACTCAAGCGATGCGTGCTGGTTAGAAAACAAACAAACTTGTGGGAATATTCCAGTTGACGTCAATCTTTTAATAAGTAAAAGCGAAAAAAGTTCAACCACCTATGAATATAAGTATACAAAAAGAAAAAAAAAATTTTTTTTAAATAAAATGTAATTTTGTCGTAGTTTTTTATCAAGAAATAAAACATCATGTTTCACACACTAGCATCATATTGAAATAAATTATTCTAAACTAACAAAAAATGTAGAACTGATATCATCGCTTCACAAAAAATACATATGCAACGATCCTAAGATTGATATAAATTTTATCTTACACATCAAAATCCGATCATTTTTATTTTTCAATCCACGTAAGATATCCTACCATAGCTGCTATTGTTTTTGTTGTTGTTGTTGTTGTTGTTGTAAAAATCATGAGAAAAAGAAGAAACGGAAGGAGAAGAAGAGTCATCAAGGATGATATGACGTGCATCGCGAGATTCGCGAGGGTTGGTGCGCGCGCGCACACTTACGCACACTTTTACGCACAACGCGTGTATATATATATATATATATATATATATGCACATGTGTGATATACACACACACACACGTGGAGAGCGACGGAACGGCATACATGTATATGCCCACAGTGGTGGCTAAGGACGCGAGCGACTTAATTTTCTTGGCGGGGAGGAGCAGCATCCTTGCCGCCGATTTTTTCGGTATAAAAGATCGAAATGCCTTGCCATAGTCACATTCAATTCTTCGAGTCTCAATCTCAAGTTGGAAACATGAAGTTCTTCCTGCTCACGGTGGTGAGTTCTTGTGCTTCTTCCGACTACTCCTCTTCTACTTTTTCTCTCTTGCATCGATTACCCATCACTTCTCACACGCAACCC